ACAGATTAATACATTCCTAGTTTCATTAAAGAGTTACACCACCAAACAGATCCAAGAAGTTAAATTTGACGACGAGGAACCCACTTTTCAGAAAATAAAAGTTTGGAGACGGCTGGAAAGGATGATGAAGAAAACGATATTATAAGTACACAACCTTTCGACAAGATTATGTCATCATCAGGTACCAATCGGGACATAGTCTTGTCGATACCTTGTGCACTTATAGTTTTCTTCATTACCCATTCAAGCAGTCTCCAAACGTTTATTTTCTGAAAAAGTGGGTTCCTCGTCGTCAAATTTAACTTCTTGATTCTGTTTGGTGGTGTAACTCTTTAATGAAGCTGGTAATATATTAATCTGTCCTATTTTGTTAGAGCACTTCTTGGATTTGTTTGGTGGTGTAACTCTTTAATGAAGCTGGTAATATATTAATCTGTCCTGTTTTGTTAGAGCACTTCTTGGATTTGTTTAGTGACGTAACCTTTTAATGAAGCTATGATTATATTAATCTGTCCTGTTTTGTTAGAGCACTTCTTGGATTTGTTTAGTGACGTAACCTTTTAATGAAGCTAGTAATATATTAATCTGTCCTATTTTGTTAGAGCACTTCTTGGATTTGTTTGGTGGTGTAACTCTTTAATGAAACTAGGAATGTATTAATCTGTCCTGTTTTGTTAGAGCACTTCTTGGATTTGTTTGGTGGTGTAACTCTTTAATGAAACTAGGAATGTATTAATCTGTCCTGTTTTAACAGATATAATATTGTGGTCTGTCTTGATCTATATTCCAATATCATGAGCTCATGTAATATTGGGATCTATCTTGATTTTTATTCCAATATCGTGAACCCATTTAATATTGTGGTCTGTCTTGATCTATATTCCAATATCGTGAGCCCATGTAATATTGGGGTCTGTCTTGCTTTTTATTCCAATATCGTGAGCCCATGTAATATTGTGGTCTGTCTTGCTTTTTATTCCAATATCGTGAGCCCATGTAATATTGGGGTCTGTCTTGCTTTTTATTCCAATATCGTGAGCCCATGTAATATTGGGGTCTGTCTTGCTTTTTATTCCAATATCGTGAGCCTATGTAATATTGGGGTCTGTCTTGATCTATATTCCTGTCTGCTCCAATATTAATTCTCGTTTCGTGAAACTGAAGTGCCTCTCTTCACTCTCTCCATAATTTCACTGATGAAGAAACTGCTGCTTCCTCTGTCAGCTTTCTACAGTTTGCTATACACGTGACTATTCCCTCCTCTGTGCACCACGCTTTTGTTGTTGCTTCATAGAACTCTTTAACATTTCATATTTTGGAGAACATAATTTCGCTATTTCTTATAACTAGTTTAAATATGGTGTGATAAAAGTTATCGAAACTCTTATTAAAAAGCATTAGTCAAACAGGTTCGACTTGTGTATGTGTGTATATATATATATATAATTCTTTCACGGACTCTTTATAGTATATTTATACACAAATATCTGGGAACAATACATAAAGCATATATTTATGCTGGTTCCTTTCGACAAAATAGTAGATTCTAAAAAGGGCTGTGTTCGGTCTTATTACGTGTATGTCATTAGCATCTGTCTTTAAGTTGTTCACATTACTGGAGCAGTTATAATGTATTTATCTGTAAGTATGCTCTCATAAACCATGTAAACTGTAATGTGTTAAATATTCCAACTGTTATCAATTTATTAACATTCATGGTACTGTATATATATAGCACGAGAAAACAATATATTGTGTACTTTTTAATTTAAACTTCAAACATTCTAGTTTCTAACCGTTTTTCTGTCTCAAAATGGCTTCCTCCATTTATTACCGAGTTGAGAACGTATAGAAAAAAGCCTTCAAGCGTAGCTTCACTTGTCAAGCTCTGTCAACAACGCAAGAAGGTTTCCATTTGTAGTTGCTATGGAAACTGGAAATTCGCCTTTGAAGGTGGAGTTCGCAGTGTGCTCCTCCTCCGCTCATAAATCTTGAGCCTTAATTCTGCAGCACGTAGGAATTGTTGGATCGATAGTTTAGTGACGGCAACTGCCTCACAAATCGACTAAATAAACGTTCTTTGTCGGATATAACTATTAATTCATATCATACGTACAACGTATTCTAGTTACTGTTTTATAATACACATTTTGTCCTTAATTGCCAGCATATAAAAATCATATGGAGGAACACTCGAATTTAGAAAAAAAAAGTTTATAAAGATTTTTGTGACCAGATTGTAATTTCTAAATTATTTAAAAAATTAATGGAGCTTCACGGAACATGTTTCTAATAAAATTCCATAAAATCTTTGGTTATTGTGTGTGCTGAGACCACACAACTCGAGGTGAATACGTGAGAAAATCCTTGCTGCAAAAGCCTATTTCTCTTGCAAAATACAATAAGTATTATAAAAACCTCTCATGATTTAACACAAACACCTTGTACACTGAATGGCTTGTCTGTATCATGTGAGATATATGGTGCCATCCTGGGACGGAAACACGTGAATGGGTTGTTCTCGTTTATAGTCCAGTTGATTTGTGAATTTCATAAGGGTCTGTGACATTCAATGTGATAATTACCGAATTCTTTGGTCAAAAGTAAGCTAAATAAGATCACATTCAATATGATAATTACCGAATTCTTTGGTCAAAAGTAAGCTAAATAAGATCACATTCAATGTCATAATTACCGAATTCTTTGGTCAAAAGTAAGCTAAATAAGATCACATTCAATATGATAATTACCGAATTCTTTGGTCAAAAGTAAGCTAAATAAGATCACATTCAATATGATAATTACCGAATTCTTTGGTCAAAAGTAAGCTAAATAAGATCACATTCAATGTCATAATTACCGAATTATTTGGTCAAAAGTAACTAAATAAGATCACATTCAATGTCATAATTACCGAATTATTTGGTCAAAAGTAAGCTAAATAAGATCACATTCAATGTGATAGTTACCGAATTATTTGGTCAAAAGTAAGCTAAATAAGATCACATTCAATGTGATAATTACCGAATTATTTGGTCAAAAGTAAGCTAAATAAGATCACATTCAATGTGATAATTACCGAATTATTTGGTCAAAAGTAAGCTAAATAAGATCACATTCAATGTCATAATTACCGAATTATTTGGTCAAAAGTAAGCTAAATAAGATCACAGCTATAGAAAAAAAAAGTGCTGTAGAATAGTGGGTCTAATAATTATCTTTATTATTGTTCTTACTGTTCTAAACTTTGAAAAATTTTCATAAACGATTATAAAAAGTGTGAATTTTGCAATATATTTTTCGAATTACGAGCATCCTACTACACGGTGGACTATCAAATTAAAGATTTATAGATTATCAAAATATGTCTGGACTACTTGACTAAGGAAGCTCATTATACTAATATAATAATAAGTTGGCAACAACGATTTATAAGCATAATGACATGATTTATTATTTGGATAATATACTACGTGTTTCAACAAAACATTCATCTGTTTTCATCACACCAACGTTCTGTCGAAACATGTTACCACAAAAATGAGTCACTTTATTATGCTTATAAATCGTTCTTGTAAACTAACTATTATGTCTAGAGATATAGATATGTTTAACATGCATTACGATAAGACAAGCAGAACGTGTAATTCATTTATTCTTTTTGTTTAGCTCTTCGAAACATGTAGACTAAATTTTTCTTCTGACATAGATTTTTCTTATCCCCCTAGTCGGTGATTCAAATGCCTGGGTTTCGAAGCCTAGGGGACGGGGAGGAGGTGGAGTTTGAATGCAAGGTGTCGGAGAA